TTTTTTTTTTTTTTTTTTTTTTTTTTTTTTTTGGTACCGGGGATTGAACTTGGGTCCTTGCATTTGCAAGGCAGGCCACCGAACCGCTGAGCTAAATCCCCAGCCCCTCAAACATACTTTTATTGTTTCGTTCTATTTCCTACCAATTCACAGGGAGGAAAGCAAACAGAATTTGGTCCATTCTCACTTTGTTTCCCATCATTTTTCTCAAATTTTTGGCACCTACTACCACATTTATCTGCTGCGAAGAACTTGCAGGCAACAAAAACAAAAAAGGACTACTAAAGTGCTTGAAAATAATCCACAAGACAGCAGGGAGAAAGAGCTGTGTATTGATATCCTAATTGCCGGCTTTGCCAGAGATTTAAATATGATGTGGCTCAGGACTTTTAGAGAATTCATAAACCATTCCTAAGAAAAAAATCACAGATAATTGTTATTTCTTAGTCTCTGCAAAGAACATCATTAATTAACCTCTTGGCCTCCACCTCTGCACACACCCGGGAAAGCAGTCTTCACCTCATTGTTGAACTCACCTTAGCCTCACTGAGAGACACTGGGAAATGACACCAAGGACCTTGAAATTATTCTCAAAAGCAGCAGTGGTTTAACAGCTTCCTGAGCTGAAAGGAGATGTCTTAATTCTGGCCACCCACAAAGGAGGCAACCACAATAATCAGTTTATAGTAGGGGAGAAAAGGGAAACAACCTAAATGCCCAGTGACAAGAGGTTGATTACATAATTTATAGCCCATTTATTTAACGGACTTTTACAGGGCTATTAAAATGATAATGCCTATCTATGTGTGTCCACTGTTGCATAAAAATATTTGATATATAATATAAAGTATAAATTATAAGTCTAAACAATAGCATCTATAAGTGGATCTCATTTGGTAGAAAATCCAACCAATCTCTCCAGTAGCTATGTTGGCATGGAAAAAAGTCTGAAGAGACATATATTGAAGTCTAATAATTATTATATCTGGAAAAGAGCATGGTGGAGAATTTTAATTTTTTTCTATTTGCTTCTCTACCTTTTCAAATGTGTTGTCAGTAAACTTTAGGAGGAGGTAGGGTGAAGCTCTCTGGGCCTGCAGCTCATGAGACCAAAGGACCAGGCCTCACTTGGGAGAAACTTGATCATCTGCAGTCATTTAGGAGAAAACTACTCACTTGTTCAGCAGGTTCACCCTTGGTATCTGAACCTTGTCAAATATTAAAATCCCATTATCCACACTGTGCAGACCTAGAGAGAACAGAAATGAATTGCAGCTGCAGGGGAAATCTACACAGCATCAGAAATATGCTTCCTGCTACTTCCCAGGCCTGTCTCCCCTAAAACTCCAAAGTCCCTTATTTCACACCCAGAACTGTTGGTACTCTCTTATTCAGGGTAAAGGGTGAGGGTGTTATCTGTTTCCTAGGCCCCCAGGGTAACCCTCCCCAGGAAAGATGGAGGACAATGAGCTTCTGCTTCTGTGTTGCCTGGGATCCAGGACTTGGATTGGAGACCTGGAGAGGGAACATCGACACCCCCACTCACAGCAGTGACTGCCTAAGAAACAGAGAGTCCAGGGCAACAAAAAGAATGGACAATGAAGACAGGGAGGGCAGGAAAGCCAGTTTATTCCCCACCCAAGAATGTAGACCTGAGACCTCTCCTCCCTCCGGGTATTTCCTCCTTAGCACACTGGGTAAACTGGTACAAGCAAAGGCCACAGGACAATGGAAAGTGGCCACAAGGACACAGGAGGGCATGGTGTCCTAAAGCCTGCTTTAGGACAGACCTGTTTTCTAAGGATGCCTGTTGTCAGAGTTTAGGGTCTACCTTTTGTGCATAAAAGCCTAGTAGATTTAATCTGGGGGATCTTTCTTTCATAAAAGTGTTTATTTAGCACATCACCTCTTGACAAGGACACGCTTGCATTATACGCTTAACAAGGAAACCAAAGCAGACTTTCTACAATTGCCAGTATTTTCAGTGTCTGGCAAGACTTCACAGGAGCACAGTTACTCCTCTGCTCTCAGCAACACTTGACACATGAGGTGCTGTCAAGGGGCCAGGGACTTAGTCACCCCCATGAGATGCATTTAAAACCTGCACAAACCCACCTGCAGCCTATCCCTGGCCCTATAGCAGGGGCCAGTTAGCACTAAGTTTGGGAATGGGACTACATCCTCCCATTAAAGACCCCAAACTTCCCTCTTTTCTCCTATGATCTTCCTTCTCTCTTGTGTCCTTCTCTCCTGGGTTCCTTTCTTTGGCTTAGCTTGATGTTGGCCAAAGATGGCCCACAGCCATGACTATTCTTGCTGACTATTATGAGCTGAATTGTGTGCACCTCCTACCCTGCTAAATTCATATGGTGAAGTCCTAACCCACATATCTGTAAATGTGACCTTATTTGGAGACATTCTTTATAAAAGCAGTTGAGTTAAACTGAGGTCATTAGCGTGGGCCCCAATATAAATGACTGTGTCCTAAAAAGAAGAGAAAATTTTGATGATGGGGATTTAGTTCGGTAGTGCCGTGCCGTGCCTGCCTGAGATCTATCCCTGATACAAAAAAAAAAAAAAGAGAGAGAGAAAGAGAGAGAGAGAGAAAATCTGGAGATAGAGAGGCACATGTGTTAATATAAAGATGGCCATTTGCAGGTCAAGGAGAGATCTTGACCAGGGTCCAGGACAAGATCCTTACCTTACCACACTTAGAAGAAACTACCCTGTGGGCACTGTGACCTCAGGGCTCTGGCCTCCAAACTTGTGAGACAACAAATTGCTGTTGCTAAAGCTCCTAGTCAGTGTCCAGCAGCCCTCCCAGACTAACACACCACATTAATTCTAAGTATTCTCATCAAGGGTTTGTGGGCACTAACATTGCCTCGTTCCTAGAAGTCTGAGAAGCTGGAAGAGAATGAAATCAATGCACATTCATAAACAGCAGCCAGGTCTGCTATCATTGCTTCTTTGAGTGCTGTTGGATTCTCCTTGGCTGTGACGAGGAGGTGCAAATGAGCCCAGAAGAAGGGTCTCCCGGAACTCGCCCTCTTTGTGCATCATATCAATAGCTGCCACTCCCGGGTACAAGCTTCCATTTTCACCCCGGACAGGAATAATGAAACAGTGAGGCCCTGAAGAAGCCATAGAGACCCTTTATTAAACTCTCTAAAATATGAATAAAACTTAACTCCTTTCCTGGGACAGTACCAAATGGTTTTGATTCCCAAATTACATGCAATAGGGAATAATGTCAAAATGTTATGATACATTTCATCATCATATCTATTTAGGAGATAAAGTCATTACTGAAATATTTTTACAAGATAATAGCTCTGTTTTCACTGGAAAGTACTCACTGAAAAACAGTCATAAAAAAGAGAGTTTTCCATGGTGGCAACAAACCTTATGATCTTCCATTTATGACAAGCTGGGCAAAGACAGCTGCATAATTCCCACACATGGCATTTCCGATGTACATCTTCTGGGCATTTTCAAATGGAGTATCAATTACAAACTCCTACACAGAAAGGGCAAAGCTACAGAGTGCATCTCTCTTTATATGCTCATTTCAATTCCTTGGCTCAATGCAATGAACACTGCAAAGTTAGCCCCACATTGCTGAGATTTCTCAGACAATGGAAATGTCGGCTAGCTCAGCCTGGTGAAGGTGACTGCTGTATCCTCTCTTCAATACACATATTTCCCTTCCACCTCTAGTTCAAAAATGACTGAAATTAAAGTGATTTTTCAATGCATAATCCAATCAAGAAAATAAGTGGTCAATTTTCATTCATTCTCTTCTTCCCAGTCTGAACTTTTAAAAAAATGTCAGGCTGATGTATATGCTGTTTCGCTGAGTCTGCCTGGCTTTAATATATAAAGTCATTTTGCAATTATCAACTTTTCTCTCTAGACTACATACTATGGTTTTCAACTTTTAAATAATAATTTTAAAAAACCTACAAGCCTGGGTGATGTATATTTAGCACTCCACATATCCCTGGTCCCAAATACTCCAGCTGCAAGGTTCTCCTGAAAGGAGAGAACCTCCAATGATTTTTCCCTAGATACATTGTTGCAGGACTCATATCTGTGTGATTTCTTCTGTCCATGCCGTCTGGGCAGATCTGTCAGTTCTCCACCTTTCCATCCACAGACCCTGGATGCCTCTGCACCTGTGAGTTGGGCCTTCATTAAATAGCAACCAACCAAATTGGGTCATGGTGCAGCCATGACTTATTCCCACCATTCCTCAGAATATCAACCTGGACAATTTCAACTGTGAAAGATATCACTCATTAAAGACTTTGGATGACTGTTTCAGAATCTGCTCTGCCACTTTCCTGGCAAATGAGTAATTAAATGTTTCCAAAGAATAGTTCATATACCCAATCCCTTAAAATAGAAGCATTTGTAAATGAGCCTCTGTTTTACAGGAGAAACAATCTTATGCCATGCAATTTGTTTCCATAACATAGCCAAGACCCACAGCTCCAAACAGTCTGAAACTAACACTAGCTGTAAAGATAAGTGGGGGAAATTCACAGTTTTATTTCCATTCCTGCTCAAAACTCCATCTTTTTCCCACTCTCTGGAAGCCAATAAAAGAATCACAAAAGAAATGCTGCCCTTTGCTTCTTGGCTCTCCTTAATTTTGCTCACCACAGGGTTGTCCTTAAACCTCTTGCCAAGGAGAGATGGCCCCTACTGCCAGTTCTGAACACAGGGTACCTGCTCTGGATCAGGGGAAATGGCAGAAAGCTGAAACATGCATTTAATTGGAGTTGACAATATTGAAGATGTGGCTGTACTAAATCAACAAGCTATTGATCACACAGATTATCTCAGATTTCAGATTATAAAGTATAAAGACTGCACTTTCCCTCCAGCCAAGAAATACAGTCTTGAGGCCTAAGAAAACATTCTTTGACATCTGTTTGTACAGGGAAATTTTTAACATGTGCAAGTGCTTTGCAGAAACATAAATGGACAAGTTGAATCTTTTTAAGAGAAGTCTCTGGAGGCCACCCTTGGCTTATCAGGCAAGCTAAGACTTTTCAAGGAGAGGAGGTACTTGAAACTGGGAGCAGTGGGAACAAACAACAACAAAATAACCTGTGTGGGTAGGAGGATGCTTATTGACAAGGGGGTGGGGAGTGACACTAGCCTGGCAGAGAAGATCTGGTGGGACTGGGAAGACAGCAGGAGGCCACCCGTCCTGTGAACATCTGATACACCCTGGGAAGGAGGTTTGTCACTTCTGGCAAGATGCTTGATGTGGAAAGTTTGCATCAGCCAAGATGCTGGAGTTAAAACTGGATCTAAATAACACGCACCATGTGTGCCGGTTACTCTTATAATTATTTGTTGAAAGCCAGCAAAATGGTCAGTGTTACAATCACTAAAATAAAAACAGCTTCGGCCAGAGAGCTCATAACCTTATTGATTTTTGTAGTTAGCACAGAATATAAAAATAAATCTCTCTCTTACCTCTTAACTATCCATACCACTAGCCAAAAAATTAAAAACCCCTAAAAATAAAAACAAAACAAAACAAAAAACAACTTACAGGAACGAATAGCCAAAAATTATAGGAGATTTCACAGTCTTGGAGGAAGAGAGGGCTCATTAGATATGCTCAAACATTTTAAAAGGGAAATGAAAAGGAAACAAGAACCTGATGGAGGGAGAAATCCATTCCCTACCATGTCAGTTCTCAGTGGCTTGAGTTTGTGATGGGCTTGTTCCCTCCCCACCCCTGGGGGACACAGCGCCCACCAGAGCCTTCTCATCATTATGACTGCAACTCTACAAGTCCCTGTGGGCAAGCAGCAGCTGCCGAGGCCCACCAGGTAGCTAAACTGTTTATGCTGTTTGGGGAATGTGGGACCGACACAGGAAATTGTTTTTGTGGAAAAAAAAATAATTGCAGGAAGAAACAAATAAATAGAAATTGTGGATGGTTTTTCTCCCCTACTAATGGTAGCAAGGTGACTTCAATACCACAGCTGGGAGGGGGAAAGAAAACCAAAAGATGTAAGGTTTGCAGGTCATAACCAGCAGGGGAGCCACTCTGCAAGGACAAGAATGGCCCCATCTGAACTTGAGTCATGCTCATTTACTGCATAACTATAGTTAGTTTCTTAACTTCTCTGAGCCCCAGTTTCCTCAACTGTAAAACAGGGACAACCACATCTTTCTATATATGATTATAGGGCATTTGACACAATGTCACATATACAGTACTTAACTTACTGCCTAGTATGTATATGCTCAATTAACCCCTTAATATTGTTTTTAATGGATCACTGGGGAGGAAGAAAAGCACCATATAAAGGGAATCAGAAAGCCCTACCCCTGGGAGTGCTGCCATACACAGCAGAGAAAACCAACAAAAACCCACTTCCTGCCCTTTACCTGCTACTGTCAGGAGTGAAAACAACATGGCGTTTGCGTGAAAGGAGCTTGGAGTAGTGCCCAGTGCAGTGTAAGTGCTATATAAGTGTTGGCTGGCATTAGAAGGTTGAGCTTAATGTCCATCTCTACTGAAACAGTTTTGATTCCAAGTTCCTCAGAGTAGCACGCCCATTGACTGTGAAGCTAAACACTCTATACAGGTAACCTTGCTTTCCTGAACAGTGGAACAAAAGACAGAATCCTCACCTGAGTAACAAGGTCAAAGGTAGCTTTGGTCTGGATTGCTTTCACATTGCTCCCGTGGCCTCTCTCAGTCATTGCAAACATCCCAGTGTAGTTCTGCTCCTGGAGTTCACCAGATTTTAGAAGGCAATTAACTGGTCAGATGGTCTCTAACTTCAGACCTCTCAGACCATTAAGAATTTTTGTGAGAAAGGGAAAGCTGAATTGGAGACAATTATAAAACTTGAGTCTAATAATAGTTGCTGTGAGCTTAACAATATAACACATTCAGTATAATAATTTAAAAGATAACCTTAAAATTCTCATCTAGAAAGAGATTTTCAGTGACAATTCTGTCTTGCTTTCCTTTCCTTCAAAACACACACGTGTGAGCGTGCGTGCCCACACACCTCAATACTATGCATGTTTAAAGCTCTCTGTAGAAGATGCCATTTCTTAAAGTACATGCCACACCTTCAGTGGCTGCAGCCACTTACTGACATGTCAAGAGCTTTCAGGATTCCTGACTGCACCACCAAATAACCAGTAAGTCACTCCACAATGGAAACAAGGACAATAAGAACCATTATTACTAACAGTCAGCAAGTTCACGGCAACTAAACCCACTGGTCCACCTCCATCCAGGAAGCATCTGCTCAGTTCTTCAAGGCTCACCTAGACCCAGTAAGTGACAGGTTTCCATACCTCTCCCCTTCCCTGACTGGCAAGCTCCAGCTGCTCCCTACAGATGTCCTTGAAGTGTCTCTCTCTTGCAGAGCCCTCCGCCAAAGTTCACAGTTAGTCTTCTATCCTCAGGGTTGCCCAGTTGAATGCATCAAATGACCTTTCTGAATTTGTCTCCTCAGAATCTAGCTCAGTGCCTGGTCCACAGAAGACACACAACAAAGAGTTGGCACAAGCATTGGTGCAGTGATCTGAAACACTGATTGAAGTTTACACAGCTGATGAAAGAGGGATGCTGCACAATGAGCAAGGAAACAACTTGGGATGAGATAGCCTGGTTAGGCTCTAGTGCCACTTCAAGGGTGTGATATATCAGAAAAAAGACATAGAATCTTATTTCTTCATCTGACAAAAGGGATGAATGATAAGTGCACCTGTTCACTGAGCTCCACACACACAAGCTCATAGATTCCCTCAACAACCTTGTGAGAAAAACATCATCATACTCACTTGACAGGTAAAGGTGCTAAGGTTCAGAGGAGGAAGAGAATGAAGGCCACATCCTCAGAAAGAGGGAAGGGCTGAGACTCAAACCCAAGCTACTTGATGCCTAATAGTAATTCATCAAGTTGCCATGAGAATTTGCTAAGAATCAACTGTCAGGCACTTTGCCCGATCTTTTATAAATCCTGGAAAATTTGTTCTGACAAGAAGGAGGAAGAAGAGGCAGCTAGAGCAAGGTCATTTGAAAGAAGCAAGATGAATGATTTCAAAGACAGAGCTTGAGTATACAGACACTTGCTAGTTTGTGGGTTAGCTCTCTTTCTCCCTCCTAGCCACACAACCCCAATTTTCCTCTAAGGATCTCTCCTCCCCTAGAATTAACCCAAGTAGTATATGGGTGATGTTGACACCATCCTAGCTTTAGGTTGAGTCTGTGATATTGGAACCAACTGAGCTGCACCCATCCCCCTCGCCATTGAGGATGCCTGCCAGCATGGACCTGTAATCCAGATGGATCCATCCTAAGTGTCCACAGGGACACATGGTTGAATCACTGGAAAGGAGCAGCTCTCATTTTTGATGCAATAGAACCTGGAGGTCTGGAGGGCCAGCACTGCAGGCAGCCATAAGCATGAGCTGGTGAATGAAAGCAACATATGGAAGATGAGGTAAGAGGAAGGACATGGGGTGGGGGAGGGGGCAGAGAGAGAGAGATCAGATTTCACACACCTGTACCAAAAGCCTGCTGCACCCTGGACTTTTCAGTTACAACAACAAATGCCTTTTTTGCTCAGGCAAGTTTAGATTGAACTTTTTTTCTGGGATCGCTGACCAATGAATGAACCACCTGCACTGTATATGTGTGATCAACCTGGCATTAACTTCATGAAATGGCATTTGTCTGACTCTAATACCTCTGACCAGAGAAAGCACTCTGATATCAGGACAGGCAAACTTCATGAATCACATAGAAAGTGCTTTTCACTGGGAGAACCCTGAAATCTCTTGGGAAGATGCTTAATGCCCTGATTACTCAGCACACTTCTCTATGGAATCACAAAGCGCACTACAAATTATAGTACTGATTTCAGCCAGGAAAATGGAATCAATCCAATCATATATATTTTTTTACCTAAGCCATCTTGAAACTCAAGTTTAAAAAAATATTTTGCACAAACTAAAGCAAGTTGAATTTTCCAGCCTTAAATCTCTTTGGCCGGTGGCTAATGTGTTCTTTACAATATATTTCTTTTCTAGGTTTTAAATCCTTTCCTCTTCTTTAGAAAGGGAGAAGGAAAAAAATAGAATGTTTCATCCACATTTTAAAAGCTTCCATTCACTCGCTGTGTTAGTAGAAGCCTTGGGCTGGGTGAGTGAACTTGTTTTGCAAAAAACTACAGCAGTTACCAGAGTTGGCATTTGCATGACCCCAGTCCACATAATCAGGTAAAATGTGGAGAATTTCCCTCACTAAATCTATCTTCTCTGAATGCAGGTAATCTGACCAAACCTGGACCCAATCCTGCAAGCACCCTGATCTCAGGCTTCCCAGCCTCCAGAAACGTGAGAAAATAATTTTCTGTTGTTTAAGCCATAAATCTATCTATGTTTAAGCCATATTTTGTTAGGGCATACCAGCAGACTAAGACAAATAGTAAGATGATTCAAAGAAGGAAAAAGAATAGTCATGTCTTCATGAAGAAGGAGGGAAGGAGACAAGTCATGTTTCTTTCGGCCTCAGAATCCTTCTAGCTTGCTTACATGTTTTGGGCAGAAAATCTGGGCTGGCTCCCAACCTGAAATGTAGGTTCAAAGTCCCCTGTAAAAAACATCCTTTTCCCTGTGACCTCTCTGGTGTTCCTTCTCCATCCCTGTGTGTCCCCTCAAAACCAGCACAGCCCTGCCAACATGTGGGTGCATGAGTGCAACCACATTTGTCTAGAACACTCAGGGAAACACAGAACTTCTGGATAAATACAGATCTGGAGGAAGAAAGAAAAAGGACTGAGGCCTACAGGGGACAGATAACTTTATGAGCTGAAACTGATGTCCCATCCCACCCCCACCCCTAGTCAACAGCCAGCTCATGCAAAAAGCAGCCGCTCTTGGGCTAAAGGGAGGACTGGAGGACCACTTGACCCACTCGGAGCTGACAAGAGCTGTTCCCAGCCCACGCGCCATGCATCCTCATGAATACCCTCACCACCAAAAAAGGGACAACCAAAATCTCCAGGCCAGACTCATACACATTGCACAGGTTTCTCCAACTGCCTAGGATTTCCAAGCTCAAGAAAAAAAAATCTCCCACAATGACTGGTGTATTAGGAAGCAACCAAAATTAACAATTACAATTAAAATTTTAATTATTTCATATATATATATATATATATATATATATATCTTGCCATTCTAGCCAATTTTAGTGCACAGTTCATTGGCATTAGTTACACTCACAATATTGTGCAACCATCACCACTATCCAATCACAAAACTTCTTCATTATTCCAAACAGGAATTCTGTATCCATACTGCAATAATTCCCTGTTCTCCCTCCCTAGCCTCTGATAACTTCTACTATGATACTTCTACTCTACCTTCTGAATTTTTCCATTCTAGATAGTTCATATAACTTGACTCAAACAGTATTTACCCCTTTGCTTCTGGCTTATTTCACTTAGCATAATGTCCTCAAGGTTCATTCATGGTGTAACATGTATCAGAATGTCATTCCTTTTTATGGTTGAATAATCAATCATCCATTGTATGTAATACTGCGTGTTGTTCATCCATTCATCTGTTTGTTTCCATCTTTTAGGTATCGTGGATAATGCTGCAATAAGCACTGGCATGCAAGTGTCTGCTGCTAAGGATGTGTTTTCAATTATTTGAGATATACACCTTAGTGGAATTGCTGAGTCATATGGTAATTCTATGTTTAACCTTGTAAGAAATCCTTATCCTGTTTTGATTTTATGTATTTATTTAGTATTATATACTGATATCTACTATGTACCACGAATATAGGGGTGGCAGTCCTCAAGAAGTTTGACCTCCAGTGATTCTAAGAAACCTAAAGTACCTAATCACATATATACAGAGATTCAAATGTGTACCTAATACACCTGATCTTAGCCAAAAGGCCGAGAAGCAATATGTACCTGCTAATATGGAAAAGTACAAGGTACAGAATCAGATGACATTGAGTAGATGGGATTTTTTTTTTTCTCTCATTGAGTTTATTGGTACTTTGTAGGTATACAGTACAGTTACATTCATCATTGGGATCTTGTACTTTTACATGACAGGTCTTGGTTCTCATTTTTTTCCCCTTGTCCCTGCCCTCCCTTCACCCCCCTCCTACTAAGTAGATGGGATTTAAATCAGGCTTGAGAGGAGCTTCCTTGAGGGAAGGACACTTCAGCTGGGACCTGAAGATTGTCAAGTTTACTTAGGCAAAGAAGGGGAAAGGCCAAGTGAAGATGGCACAGAGGTGTGCCAAAGACACCAAAAGAAGGCCAGGATGGTAGGAGTTTGCAGGAGGAGGAGAACAAAACAGAATTTGTCTGGAAAGGGGAGCAGGGTTCTATTATGCAAGGACCATGGGCCATGTCAAGGATGGGAGGGTTTTTTAAAGAAGGGTGGGAAGGATTTTGAAGCAAGAGAATGATGTTAACAGAGAAGCATCTCGAAGAACCATTTCTTAAAATCTACTTGACTTTCCTTCTAGAAGATTCAGCTTTAATATTTTTTAAAACAAGTATATTATGAAAATTTCCAAACAAAATAGACATGTGTAACAATGACCAGTTTGTGGTTCACTTAGCTTCATCTCCTGTCTCATCCACTTTTCCTTTCTACACACTGGGTTATCTGGAGGTTTATCCCAAACATCTTATCATTTCATCAAGACATTTTCCTTACACATCCATAAGAGATAAAGACTCTTCTTCTAAACATAACTCTAAAACCCACCTAAAAGTATACTATGAATCCTCTAATACTGCCCAGTGTCTACTATTCAAATTTCCTTAGCTGATGCATGGCTTTTTTTCCCCCTGCAATTTTCTGTCTGCACCATGATCAAAATAAAGGCCACATAGTACAACTGCTTGAAATATTTCTTAAAGTTGCTTTAAATTGCTGGTTGCCCCCCCCACTTCAGTCAAACAAGGCTCAGGGCAAATGATTATAGCACTGACTCTATATGTGGCATGAAACTGCATAGAACTAAAACACACACACACACACACACACACACACACACACACACATCCAAATCCATGTTAAAAATAAGTGAAATCCGAAGTAAGTCTGTGTCCTCCCCTATTTATACTGTACCAATGTCAACTTCCTGGTTTTACAATGCTTTAGAACTGTCCAAGATGACACTGTCGGGGGAGACTGGGTAAAGAGTTCACATGACTCTACGCACTCTTTTTGTAATTCTCTGTAAGCAATATTATTTCAACATTAAAAGTTTTTAATTTTCAAAATAAAAAGTTTTTAATAAATATTGTGACTTGCAACAAGATAAATCAATCTTAGCAATAATATCTAAGTCCAGAGAGTAAATCACAAATGACTATGACTCTGTGTTCCTAAAATTAAGGTAAATGAAAATAATTGATTATACAAATATAATTAAGCTATATAAAAAGAAACACAAAGAAGAGGATTAAGCACACTTGTTAAAGAGGAACGTGAAGGCTGTGCCATGAGGCACAGCATTTTACAAACACAAATCCCAGAGAGTGGACTGAGAACTCGAGGGGTGCAATTTCATTCCTTGCCATACAAAATAAGCATGAATTCTTGAAGGGCAGGATTGGGGGTGCCTCTCACCTTCACACCAGTGACCACGTCTGCCATTGAGAGCACGTCTCCTATGACAAGGGCTTGGTTGGCAACATTCTCTGCCTAAAAACAGCACAGACCATAGGGCCGGGGATTTAGCTCAGTGGTTCTGGCATCTGCCTTGTAAGCACAAGGACCGGAGTTTGATCCCTGGTACCAAAAAACAAAAAACAAAACAATCAAATAAAAACAGCACAGACCTAATATTAAGGTTTTCTAACCTTTGAAGTCCACATTTTAAAATAATTTTTATAATATATGCATGTTCCTTTTATAATAAAACACAATAAAAACAATTTTAAATTAAGAAATATCCCATCATTCTACCCAAGTAAATGTTTCCATCTTTTCCTCAATGTTTACTTTTTAGTCTCTGACCACATGTGCATAGGGTTTAAAGACTTTTCTTGCACAAGAGGAAGCTTGGGGACAGATGCCCCTCAGGCTGTGCTTGGCCCTAACTGGGCAGGTCCCAACCAACCCCTGGCCTCAGCATTCATTGTGAGGGTTGGGGACCCTCGAGATTCTGCCAACTCCTCCCTAGCATGCCCAGGTAACAATGTTGATGTGAGCACAGAGGATTGATAAGATTTGGGGACATTTTAGACAGAAGAAAAGCCATACTCTTCCTTTCTAGGCATAGTCTCTCTGGCCTTTAATGATTTAAAGACCACAAAGTCCTGGTGCCTTTTCATTGCCTGATTCTCTCACTGTTCATAACATAAACAAATCCCAAAGCTAGATAAACACTCTTCTCCACCAGCAAAAAATGAATGAGATAAGGCTAAGACACCATCACTGTTTCATTTTACAATTTCAGAGACACCCAGAATTTTCTGAGAAGGTGATCAAATTGTGATTATCCATTGTTGGAATGAGTGTTATTTGTCTTCACTGATTAGGCTGTCTGAGACCCAGCCAGCAAAACTTATTCTTACTGATGTGTATGTGTGGGCACATGTATCTGTGCATATCTGCATGTTTGTGTATTTATGCATCCACATGTGCATGTCTGTGTATATGTTGTAACATGTACATCTTTATAAATGTGTGCACGTATATATGTGTCCATGTGCATCTGTGTGTACAATGACTCACTGGCAGCAGGATGATAACCAACTTTCCTTGGCTCACTCTCAGTTTCCACACTGGCTTAAGCTTTCTCACAAATATATCTATGTTTTCCCCTCCCACTGGCTTTTATAATATTTCTCTCAAGCATTATTAATTTTATCAAACAGAAGAGTGTCAAAATGTATGACTCTTATCATGGCTCCAACCCAATGCATCTTGTATTGGTTATTTCCTAAAATATCTCCAGGTTCAAACATAAGCCATTGCATGGCTCCAGCTTGGGCTCACACTGGGGAGTTAGTTACTAGCCAATAATAAAAAACAACTGTAGCCAATATTTGCAGAATTTTTCAGAGGGCACAAATATCCTCTGTTTTACAGATCCTCTAAGTAAGAGATGGAAAAGCCCAGGCTCAGGGAGGCCAAATGATTTGTCTAACCAGAAACACCTAGTAAGTAGGTGGGCCAGGATCAAAAACCAGATTCCAGATTCTCATCTGGGTGTCTCACCACCACACCTCATTACCTCTCATTATTAAAGATTCTGGCCAGCCCAGCCTTCATACCACCAGCCGTTTATACCACCAGCTATATTCCCAGAGAACAGGTAACAAACTTGTCACTGTGACCCAGTTCACCTTGCTATCTGCAGTCAGAACAGCAAACTCATGCTTGCCTTAAACCATCAGACTCTGCTTTAGTCAAACCTAAATCATCAGAAGTACATAAATCACCCAGACTTTCTAATTGTAATGGTTTTCTTCATATTTCTTTCTTTTAATGTATATACTGTTGTTGATGTAGAAGCATAATTTTGTCACTAGTGATATTCAAAACTGTGGTCATTTTTATTCACTAGTTTGAAATAAATTGCAAGTACATTTGCTGAAGAATCAACCCCAAATTTAGCCATCTTAGAACACTAGAAATTATTTACAACTACTTCCTTCCCCCAGGCTCTTCACGAGACAGCCATCTTTGCTATTTGATCAGATGGGAAATGCCAGTAGAAGTTTGCTATCCATTAATGTTGATGTAAGCATGCATTTGGACTGGTCCATTTTCCAAGAAATCACACCAAAGTTCCAAAGCCAAAATTAGGCTTAATTTGATTGACTGCCTTACTGTCATATATTTCTAATATCTTCTCCACACTTAAATTCTCTCTTCTCTTCTTCTATTTCTGACTGATCAATTGTTCCCAGTAAAAGAAAGCTTAATATTGACAAGTTCTCTTCCACTGAATTGGTATCAGTAATTGAATGTTTATATTTATCATGATCAACCAATAAACACATTTTCTTCAATATAGTTTTTTGGTATTCCTTTTATATCAATATTGCTGCCTTCATTTACACTTGATATCTCCAGACCAACTTCAATCTCCATATCATCATGTAGGTTTTTAGAGATTTATTCAAGCTTTTGTTTTACCCTAACTTACAGCATATGCTATTTATACTTCTGCTTAATAAGTGCTGTCTCACACAGCAGGAAGATAGTTTTTCCTAAAATACATCCTTTTAGCACCCTCCACATACTCAAACTCTGTGATGTAATATTCTGTTACAAATCCTGCAAAAGTGTATAATTTTGGTTTTATACAATCAGAGAGTCTGTAAAAGATATATACACTTCCACAACTAAAATCAACACAATTCACAATTGGTTGGGTAGATACAGTCTCAGCTTCCTTTCTCCTGATGTTGAAAGACCCACATGGTCCCCTTTGCATCCCATGGACAATCTATGTTAGATATCCAGTCAAGGGTTCTGAGCAGAAAGAGATTCCTTGTCTTCATTTTTAAATATTAGTGTGAAAATCTGCATTTTTGCTTCTTCTATCTTCCAGTTGCAATTTTTAGTTATGTCTTCTCACTCCTACTGAATACATATTATGATGAGCTTCAAATTATCATAGAACACTTAGAAGCAAGAGTAAAATGTAAAAACAAATGGGCTCCATGGATTCAGGCAAGGTGCTTGCCTTCTGGACTAACCATCCCTGACCCTCCCTCAGAAAGATTCCAAGGCTGATCACTTCTCACATCTCCCCCAGATGGTCTATTGCAATAGCCTCCCAAAAGGACTTCCAGCTTCCTCCATGACCCAAATGTTAGGCACCATGATCTTTATTGCTGTCATTATTAGCAATGTCAATGTTAAGGTAAAATTAGCCTCTAGTGAAATGCAGTTTGAGTACATGAGTTCTGGTCAGTTGTCTAGCTGCATCACACATCAAGCCAACCAAGATGAACTTTCCTCACCCAAACTCCAGCAACAGGTTCTCTCCTGCACCTCTTCAGTAAGTCCTCATCCCCACAGGCAACCACATTTTTCTTTTCTTCACCATCCATCAGCTCTGCATGTTCATGCACTTGCATATATGGGATTATACAGTGTATTTTCTCTTGGATCGGCCCTCCCTTGTGCAAATAAGGCACTTATGTTGTTATGCATATCACAGTTTTCCTTTTTGTGAATAGTATATTCCACAATTTTTTCACTTTCCTACTAGGATGAGCACCATGGATATTTCCACTTCAAGACTATTATAAACTAAGTTGATATAATAATTGTATGTAGTACAAGACTTTGTGGACATATGTGTCCATTTCTCTTTTGTTAATCCTTAAGAATACCAGGTCGAAAAGTAGGATTACATTTATTTTTGTAAGAAAATATCAAACATTTTTTAAAAAGACTGTACCTTTTTACACTCCTACCAACAATTAGGAGAGCGGCAGTTTTTCCACATCTTCACCACTATTGCCAGTCTTCCATTTTTAGCTATTCTGAAGGGAGTATAATAGCATCTCATTATTGTTTAAAGATGTATTTCTCAAATGACTAAAAATACCAAGTGTATTCTCATATGTTTTTTGGCCACTCACAGGTATATATTTATGTCTTTTGCTCCATTTTTAAAAATGTGTGTTCTTTTCATCATTGAGCTTTAGAGATTTTTATAATTTTGAGTACAAATAATTTGTATCTAGATACAAGTTTTTGTCAGATATATGCATTGCAGATAATTTTCCTATTTTGTGGTATGCCCTTTTTATTCTCTTAAATGATTACCAGCAGTTCTTAATTTTTATTTTAAAAAGTACCAATTTTTGCTTGTAAAATGTGAGATAATGAAAAGATGAAAATAAAGTGTTTGTAGATTGGGAGGGGAGGAGGGGGTGAAGGGAGGGCAGGGGTAAGGGGAAAAAATGAGAATCAAGACCTGTCATGTAGAGGTACAAGATCCCAACAATGAATGTAACTATACTGTATCCCTAAAATGTACCAATAAACTCAATTAAAGCTGAAAAAAAAAAGTACTAACTTTTGCTTGTACATGTTTAGCATTGGGAGAGTCCTTCCTGAGAAACCCCTACTTAAAGTCAAAAAGGCACTCTCTATTGTTCATCTGTAAACTTTGTAATTTTAGAGCTTTTCCTTAGATGTATAATACACTTGTTTTGTTTTTTGTTTTTTGGTACAGAGATCAAACTCATGACCTTGCTAAAGAAACAAGTGAGGCAGGAGCAGTGCCACTGAGCTAAATCCCCAGCCACAACTTCAAATTATTTTTGTGTGTAGTATGAGGTAGATATCTAGGTTAAACTTTTTTCTGTATGTTTATTTAGTTGTTCCAGCACCATGTGTTACAAAAACATTTCTTTTCTCATTTAACTGCCTTGGCAGCATTTAAAAAAAAAAATCAATTGAACACATGTGGGATTCTTTTAAGACTCTCCATTCTGTTCCATTGATCTATTTGTCTACTAATACCACACAATCTTGAGTAGCATTAATTCATGTAATGAGAACCCTCCAACTTCATTCATTTTTAGAATCATTTTAACTATTCTAGGTCCTTTGCCTTTCCATATATGTTTTGAATCAACCTGTAAATTTTGATGAAAGCATTATGATATTTTCAAAAGTATTATGTTATGTGTGTCTCTCCATCCTCACAATATAATGAAAACTTTCAATGACTTCAGTTACCATTGTAAGAAAATCTTAGCTTATCATTAGCCTCCATGTCTGGCCCTTATTTTTCTTTCTTGTTCCTGAGGCCACATTATAGGGTATTTGCACAGTGCTAGGTGCACTCAGTACAAAGACTGAGGCCATGTACTTCTATTTCCCTCAGGGGCCTTTCACTCCTACAGAAAAACCCCAGACAGAAAGTCTGATAGAAGGTGATATTTTTCATTTCATGACATTATCTGCAGTGTTCTGACAATGTAGAATTTTCCAAATTCCTGCCTTAAATTTAATAGCTCTTTTCTTGACCTCACATGCTTCCTACCATATACTGATCTGCTTAAGAATTTTTATAATTAGTAGTGTAATCACACAATTAGTCAATATTGACAGTATGCAATAATGAATATATATTTTATTGACATTACCAGCTTGATTATGAGCTTACTTTTCTGATATCAGAAAGTAAAACATTTTATACTAATTTTAATGGAAATTAATAGTTGCTTATACGTTTTACCACATGAAAAAATATTATTCCAGTTATTTCACATTATGAAAGATGAATATATACCTATTTATAAACTGGATAGTCAAACAATAATTTCACTGAGTATTCACTCAACATCTCATATGTGCCCAGGCATTGTCTGAGCAGCTAACATGGGATATGTCGTTTGATCTTCACATCAACCCTTTAGGCAAGTACTATTGTCATCCAAATTTTGCAAAGGAAACTAAGACTCTAGAAAGGTAAGAAATCTGTCCAAAACCATAGGATCCTCAGTGCAGGACACAGACGTGGACACTTGTCTCTCTGATTCCAAAACCAGAAACCTGTAACCTTGGCAAAATAGTGAGAACATTGTACTATGACCACCCTGTTTGGATTTTTTAAAAAAATACATAAATACATATGCATCAAAAAAAGACCAGGTTGGTTTTTATAAGCCTGTTACCAGTTACCTTTGAGTGATAGGAGTGTGTGTGTGTGTGTGTGTGTGTGTGTGTGTGAGTGTGTGTGACCTCCATGTATTTTTTATTATCTTGTGATGACTCTTCATTACTTTGAGGGATACTGAGGAAGTTTTAGTATTTCTCCCAGTGTCTTCAAATTTACTTTGTAGAGTAGTTAGGAAGATCTAATAAGATCATACATGCAAAATTCTTGTCAGCTGTGCTTTGCCTGTAGCCTACTTCTCTAATCATTCCTCCCTGACCTCTTCACCATCTCATCACCAGCCATTGTCAGTCTTTAGGCCTCCTCTTTTCTGTCAACACATATGCCTTGCAAATCCATGCAACCTTGTGATTCTTAATTCATCTCCATGCTTATGACTTCCCATGCCCTGCACTTCAAAATACTACTTACATCCAAAATCTAATTCCTACATTAAACTCAAATCTCTTTAAATATTCTCTTTGAGTCTTTGACCATTTCTTAATCTAGTTGTTTGTTTTTTGTCTTTAAGTTGTAGGAGTTCTGGCTCTCTTCTAGACATCAATTCTTTATCAGATATATGACTTGCAAATATTTCCTCCCATTCCATGGACTGTCTTTTCATTCTGTTGATTGCATCTTTTTTCTTAGTCCATTTTGTGCTGCTGTCACAGAACACCTGAGATAGTAAAATGTAAAGGACAGAGACATGTTTCTTATAGTTCTGGAAGCTGGGAAGTCTGAAGGTGAGGGCTCACATCTGGTCAGTGTCCTCTTGCCACAGCATTTCATCGTGGAAGGCACAAGGACAAAATAGGATGTGGTGGGAGACAGGGATAGCCAAAGTCATTCTCTTATCATTAATTCTTTATGAGGGCAGAGACCTGGTGATTTAATCACCTCCTAAAAGGCCCCACCTCTCAATACTGTTGTTGTGTTGGGTCTTAAGCTCCCAACATACAAACTTTGGGGGACAGATTCAAACTATAGTGCCCTTGATAAATAAAAATTTCGAATTTTAATGTTGTCCAATTCATTGTATAAATTTTTATTAAATTTTTTTCAAATTAAGATAAATTGCATCTTTTTTGAAAGCTATTCTTTTGATATAGCAAATAAATTATTGCTGAATTTTATATCATAAAGATTTTCCCTTCATTTTGTTCTAACAGCTTAATAGTTTTAACTTTTACATTTAGATCTTCAATCAATTTTGAGTTAATTTTTATGTATGTTTTATATACCATATACAATTGTCCTAGAACAATTTGTTGAATATATTGCCCTTTCCTTATTGAGTGGTCTTGGCATTCTCACTGGAAATCATATATAGAAAGTTCCATTCTGCATCTGTGTTGTATGTGTATGTCTTTATGCCAGTACCATACTGTTTTGATTACTATAACCTTATACTAAGTTTTAAACCTCCAAGTTGCTCTTCTTTTTGAAGATCATTTTGGCTACTCAGGGTCCTTTGAGATTTCATATGAGTTTTAAGATGGATTTTTCTATTTCTGGAAAAAAAACTGCTGCATCAAATCTGTCATTTACAGATAGCATTTATAAGTAGTATTTACATCTCAACCATATTAAGCATCCCAATATATGGATGCTATCCATTTATTTTGTGTCTTCTTTAATGCTTTCAGGCATACCTTATTCTTAATTTATAAGTCTTTCATACCCTTGGTTAAGTTTATTCCTTAAATTTTATAAATTGATACTATTGTAAATGAAATCATTTTCTCAATTTCAATTATTCATTGTTAGAAAATGGAAATGTAAATTTTGTCTGCATGTTAAATGTCATCTTGCAATTTTTCTGAACTCATGTATTAGTTCTAGCAAATGTTTTAATGGAATTACTAGGGTTTTCTATATATATGAGACTGTAACATCTGCCAGCAGAGATAATTTTATTTTTTTCCTTTCTGATTTATCATGTTTTATTTTTATCCATAGTGTCTATCACCATCTGATGTACCATAAATTTATTTATTTGTTTATTGTCTGTCTCCTCCCAGAATAAAATGTAAGCTTCACATAGAAAGGGTTTGGGGGTTGTGGGGGACTAGTCTGTTCACTGACCTTTGAACAGAGTCTGCTTATAGCAGAAGCTCAATAAATAATTGTAAAAATCAATGAATCAGCTCACTTGGCACGTGGAAGCCACTTAACAAATGGTAGCAAGTAATAATTATTGTTATTTTTATATAGTGCTTCTTTGCAAGATTACTAATTAAGCATTAAAATGAAAGTATTTCATTGTGCAGAATGGTCACTGTGTCAAAAAACAGAACCATGAGTTCAGCTGCACTGGCATCCCTGGGAAGGTCCCCAATCACTCCCTGGCATGCCCTTTCAAGTAATGCCTCTGGCCATCACAGATGACAACACAGTGCAGGCGCCAGTCTACACAGAGGGACTTCTATAAATAGACAACTCCATCCTGTCATCTCTGCTCAAATCCCCCACAGTATCCCATGGGGTCAGGGCTGGCCTAGCCAGAGTGCAGGCCAAGTGGACAGTGTCCAAGTTTGTGGAGCTGGAGCTGGGACAGAGACTCCTGCCAAAGGCAACACAAAAGACCAAGAGCTAGGGCAGCCTGTCACATCCCACTAGGAAAAGCCAGGGTTCCGGGACATACAGAAGCCAGAGTGCCAAGGATGGAGCCAAGGCCAGGGCAACTGAGCCAAGATCTCAGAGTAAGCTGATCAGAACCAGTACTGGGACTGAGGGGGAGCAAGGGATATAAACAGTCACGGTCTGCAGGACCAGTGGTGGCTGATACTGGTATTTGCGGGTGACAGGGAAGAGTCTGGGCAGGATGGACTGCTGTGAAGGACCAGAGGCAGGCAGGCATCCTCAGCCTTTTGGCATGATCCCTGCCCAGCTAATTTTCTGCAATACACCCACATCTCAAATGTAAGTGCTTCCTAGGAAAGACTGTTTCTTGTCTCAAGAGTTAATCAGGAAAGCAATTATTTTCCCCATTCCCAGATGCTTTGTAAGGCAAGCTCTCTTAGACTATTAGTCCATTATTGATCTGATCATCCACCTGGCTTCACTCTATGTATGAAAACAAAAACACACTCCAAATTGAGAGTATCTAAAATTCTGATCAAAATAAGAGATAATTATAGTAAATGTAAAAGAAATATAAAGCCCAATTTTCCCCTCCAAGCTTCTGGGGCTTAGCTTCTTGAGGAAACTGGGGATAAATTAAATTGGTGATTCTCAAAATGTATGATTTCCTTTATTAAAACTGCTAAAGATTCCAAAGGGCTTTTCTTTATGGAGATTAAATCTACTAATTTATCATTTTAGGAAGTAAAAGTGAGCATTTTTATTCATTTTTTAAAAAACAGTAACCTTGGGCCGCAGATTTAGCTCAGTGGTGCCACCGCCTGCCTCACAGGCACAAGGACCTGAATTTGATCCCCAGTGCCAAACAAACAAAAAACAATAACCTCATTACATGTCAATGTAAATAGTACGATTTTATTAAAAAATAACCATAATTTCTAAAACCAAAAACAATCACTTGAAAAAATAACTTTGTTTTACTTTTTCTGGCAATTGTCTTAATATCTGGCTTAATAGACAATAGCAAGACTCACCTCTATCTACATTTATACCCAGTCTGTTATCATACACTGTCTTCACTGAGGTTTATAATAAAAATCCAGTGCTGCACACAGGTAGCTGGACATCTATCTTTCAGGTAGAACCTGAAAAAGGTCTTTGAGAACACCCAGGGGTCTTCATACATTGGAATCATTGGTGTAGGTAATTATGATCCCACCATGCTCCCTCCCACATGGATCATGGGATGGTGGAAGCATGGCTCAGATGGGAGAGAAGATGGTTGTTGGTGGGGAGGGATGGAGCAGTGAAGGTGTGGGTACTTCATTATCTAGGTGTCTGATCCCAATCCTCTCTATGCTACAAGACCTGACCTCATCTGGGTCCCTTCTGGGGAAAAGAAGTGTTGCTATGGAAAGTCCCTGGGGCCTAGCCTTGATCCATGATTGGTAGGGGCCAAGTGCTGAATAGGACCAATTTTAGTGAAACAGCACAGGGTGCCAGAAAGGAAATGCAGCATAGCAGGACTCAAACTCAGATGCTCATAGGACTACCTTAAAGATTTAAATGCTGATTTGTTTGGCTTGATCAAAAACCTGGACAACAGGAGTTTTGTGGGTTTTGTTGTTGTCATCATTAGTTTTATTAATATATGTTTGTGATCTTGGTGAATTGGCACATATACATATTGTATCTGGATCATTTTTGTTCCCCCTACCTTCCACTCCATCCTCCCCTATCCCTTTTCACCAAATTCCCTTCGCATCTCCAGAGTCTACAACACAAAACTTTTGAAAGTTCCTCTAGGTGATAAGAACATACAGCCAGAGTAAGTTACACTTAATTGAAGTGGGCTCAGAAAGCTATCTGGGCTCACATCTGTGTTCTCCTAATTGCACATGCAACTTAATTATATAACTAATTTCAGCCCAATTCCTCAACTTCAGTTTACTTATCTGTAAAACAGGAACATCATGAGGGATGGTGTGCATACAGGATCATCCATTTAAACTTCTTAGTGTTATGGCTAGCATAAAGTATGTACTCAGTAAGTCTGGTGATGATTGGTGCAGACTATCATCCCCTTTCAGTTTCAAAGGACAGGATCCCCTTGGGCCAAAGATTTTGCTCAGTGGCACCTCTCCTGCCTCACAAGCACAAGGTCCTGAGTTCAATCCCCAGTTGATGGGGGACAAGGACAACAGGGTAGCATACTCCCACACAGGACAAAGCTCCCAAAACTCCCATATCCTGCCTCAGCACCACCACAAAACAGATGGGCAACATTAGTCCTCTGTTTCCTATCTGGAAATACAAGGAGTTAGTGACTCTCCCAACAGAGGACCCATCCTGCAATCTTTGTGGGAATAAGAAATCTATTGCCTGAGGGGCACAGAGGTGATGTCACAAGAAACAGGTGCAAGAGGCCTCATCCTGGAGTAAAACAATGGTATTCATACTGCATACATGTCTCATTTGCACATGCACACACACTTTGCAGTTAGTCTTGAATAATGTCTTTTCCCTTTAAGATGATTGGAACATTTCAAATCTATTATAGATGGCAGATGGGAAAACACAGTGGAAATATTTTAATGGCTTATTCTTGGCCTGTGCACTGTCTATGGAGACCTGGATTGAATGAGCCTCCCTCCTCATCTGTGCTCAAGAACATCATCATTACATACTGCACAACATGTTTTCCCTCCAGCTTCATCTGCTCACCCAGGAAAGTTAATAGCAGCATGAAATGGGGGCCAGAGAAAGATAGAGCGACCTGGCATGCTCTCTGAACAGGCAGGATAGCCATGACTCAATACTTTTATTAAGAGGCAGCATGAATCATGTAACACTTCTTCTACAATTACTGTATGAGGACAGCTCCTCCAGCTGTTTATAGGGTGGAATTTGAGAGCCTTCAAACACAGATGTGCTGCTGAGTCTTATAACATCCACCCAACAAGATGAGCCTGCCGGGTTGATGACCAGTTTAATTTTCTTTAGGTTCACTGGCTTTTGAGAATTTACACAGAGAGAGGTGCCAAACGGGCCAAGGTAATTAACAGAAATGAACTGAACAGATCATCCAGGGCCAAACCAGTGCCTCCTGGAGGAGTTATACCTACTCACCCAGGACAGAAAGTTGTCCAGGCTTCCTAAGGCCACTAAGACAGCTACAAAACAGAAAGAATTGGATCCAGGGCCCAACACCACTCATCAGGAGCAGGATTATGCAGACTAATCCTCCAGATTCTGCAGGTCAGGCTGCAATTAGCAAGCCTCATTAAGGGATCAATTCTGGCTTCCAGGTCTTGAGTATTGACACTAAGTTAAGCCACAGACATGTTGGGCTGATTAAAGAAGCAGGATACTGGCCTCATGCCAAATCCTCACCTTCCCACCAGTCCCTAGCTAAATGCATGTGGGGGCAGGATTCTGATAAAGTGTCTGGAAGCAAAGACGGTTGGATTTTTTATTCTTTGCTTTTGGTTGTATTTAGAGCTCTAAATGTATATTCCATGGAGAGGTAATTTACTAGCTTGAAAACTGTTGCCAAGTTGCTTGGTCTGAAATGATTTTACAGACTTTGCAAGCACACCTCACTCTATTATGTGGAGGTTTTCTCTTGCCACTTGGGCATCCTTCCACATGTTCTCCATCAAAAGGTGATGCTGTGGCTTTGTCTGCTTCAAGGAGGCTTCAGACTTCAACAGGAGTTGGTAGCAAGGCTCTGCCTGGAATTCCTTCCTGGGAAGATGCTGGGTTCAGCCCTTGTCTCCTCAGCATAGCCAACTGAGGGTAGGGGATCCCCACCAGCTCAACAGAGAAAGGTACTACTCCAGGCTCTCCAGAGGACCCCACTCCTCAGTCCTCCAACTCTCCCCTCAGACTTAGCTGGGAAAGAATAGGCAGGCTTTCTGCAGGACAGAGCCAGCTTCTCAGCCAGCTCCTAAACAGCGTCTGCTCTGGTTCAGGCCCCTCCCCTAGGTGGTTCCTCCAGGTGTACAGGACCTTTTTCCTTTGTAATATGTTAGGTGGAGAAAGCCATGAAGCTAAATAAAGTGGCAATGGGTTTACACACAGCTGAAATATACAGCTTCCAATGTTAGCATCACAAGGAAACCTCCAATTACATAGTCTTTATTTTTTTATCATGGACTAAATTGATTGATATAATACCACTACATTTAGAATGGCACTTTTTAGACAAACAAGATTCATAAACTTTGAACAGGTCTCACTAAAGTTCTGTAAAAATGATTTGTTTCTATTTCTCAGCTCTTTAAACTTTATGCCTAAAATTATATTGGTTTTTATGCATAAGTATTTTTTTGCTTCTGTTGATTCTCCTGCTTGTAAGTTTGGAGAATTGAAATGTATGGGGGCCAAGAGAAGGGGTTTCATTAGGTTAATAGGGAGCACAGCAGAAAAGGAGACTGAAGAAATCACTGCCCTCTATACTGATCTCACTGTCTGCGTGCCTCTGGGTGAGATAAATGAGCTTATACAAGTCACAAAAGCAAAAAAAAAAATTTTTAATTAAAAAAAAAAACCCAAACACCCTCCCTCTCCAGGCAAACACACACAAAATGCACACATGAAAAATAATGATGTCTCTTACCTGTCCCAAAGTGTCTGTTTTAACAGAGGGAGACCCATGGCAAACCTCATTCTCTGATCTGTCAAAGCTCTCATTTCACCCAGACTTAAATCATAGCTGTACAAAATAGATACAAAATGGGTGTTAAGACACTGAGTCATTAACGACCCTGAGTGAAGCTTCCAGAATTCCTAGACCTGGGGCTCTGAGAGAACAGATAGATTCCTCTACTATATCTCATTGGGCTGTGTACACTGTGTGTAACACAGG